AGGGAAACATTGGCCTTGCACAGTCTTTTTTTTCCTCCTTGCTCTAGACATTTGTGTAGTACTCCAGAAGATTGGCATTCAGTGTGCTAACATCTAATGGACCATTTCTTTTATTATTTTTGGAAGTAAAACTTTGAAACAATTTGACTAGTATTGTAGGTGCCTTGATGAATCTGATGCTAATTTGTTAAAGCATCATCTATAGCCTTGACATGTCTTAGATTTTGCCTCTGAAATCCTAGAGATATTTATTCTTTCTAATTTGCTAACCTTGAAGATACATTTTTGTACAAAATATCAAGACTTCTCTCATGTTGTGGATTTAAACATAATGTTTGTATAGCTTTAGCAGCAGCTCCTCAGACACCTAGAGGACACCTACTTTTAAGTATAGACTTCAGTCAAAGTGGTTTCTTTCCTTCTAGGTTGTAAAACCATATGCTTAGAAGATGGAGTTTTTCATAGGCAGGAGCAGCCCATAGCATAGTTATGACTAATAATGGTGGCTGGTTAATAAAAAATGTTGGCATCTGACTTGCATCCCTTTTGGAAATCTGGAAAGAGGGTTACCAGTCCCGTTTTGTAACATTTTGATAAGTTTACATGGCACAACACACTCTTATGTGGAGTTCGGGAACAGTGTAGTTGCATCATTGGGATGCCTGGGCTAATTAGTCCCACAGAAGCAGGATATCTTTAATTTGGGTGCAGTGTCATGCTAACAAATGTATGTTTCTGGTACCAGAGCAAGCTTGTTTAGAGCTCTTCTGTGCTCTCTTAGAGCAGGTTTAAACTTTGGGGAAAGGATACAGATCTTGGGTTTTGATGGAAGTCCTCCTTCTCCTCTATTATGTCCTCTTCTTATTTCCATATCTGGAAGCTCCAGATTCAGTTCAGGAATTGGTAATCCTAAAATTCAGGTATCACTTTTGGGAATATGTTCTGGCACCTGTAGATTCAGGTTTGGTGAATTCCTCAACATGTCAGTCAAATAAATGTAACCTCTAATAGATGAGGTAAATGTTTGTACCCCAGGAAGAAAAGTTAGGGGTACTTGGCTTCATGGTGATCTTGTGCGTCTTTGTTCTGGCAAAAAAAGATTTAAAAAAAACTTCTTTCACACTTCCTGGGGCTTCAAATAAGATGAGCTGTTTTACCTGATCATGGACATTTGAGATTGATTGGCCTAGAGCAGAGATGTCAAACTCATCAGGCCCTTGTGGGCCAGGTGAGTGACATGGAGCTGGCCATGTGCAGGCTGGAGAAGTGGCATGGGGCTGGGCTGCCCTGGTCCCATGTAGCATAGCAATCAAGTTGTTCCTTTTCTTTTGTTTTAGCTTCAGTGTTTTGTTCTCATTCCATAGATCTTTCTGGAGACAGAAAAAATTAAGCAATCTTTTGAAAAAATATCCTTTCATTTCACTCCTCTGTCCCTCTCTTTCTTGATAGGTTGCTTGCTACTTAGTCTGGCATGAATTGAGATTTAAAGAACTCTGGTTATGAGAATAAACTCTATAAATATGAAGTTTATTGAATTTATTCTTTGAAAGTTTTTTGGGGTTTTTTGTTGTTGTTTTTTTAACTGGGCTATGATGGTTTTGTTGGGTACTCTCAGAAAGAATTGCTCGGGTTACAAAAACATTGAAGGTATGCACTCAATCCATTTCATTGTCATGTGCCTAAGTGGCACTTGTATAGCTGCATAAATATAATTTTTGGTGGTTACAAAGAATTTGGACTCTGTTTCCCAAGTACATAGCTCTGCTCACCCTACATTTCCCTTCTGAGTGCAGTACCCTGGCTGTAGAACAGTATAAAATCACTTGGGTATGCATGTAACCCCATGCAAGTTCCAAAACATCACGGCTAATTAGTGTGAGGCCATAAGAGGAGGCCTCCCACTTTTGACAAGTAGATCAGAAACTCCCACTGTTGTTTATCCATTATATCCAGTTAATATTAAATGCAAGGTGCAGAAATGCCATTAAGAGCAAAGGCTGGAACCCAAAGTGTCCATCTCACTGAACCAGACTCCTTCTAGCTTGCTCTTCTCTAACTCCTAGATCCATGTGTTTTCTCCTCCTGACTGACTTCTGGACTGGTGTTTTGAGCAGTTTCTAGGAAGCAGGAGCAGGAAATGTATATTTGAATCCCTTTTGAGTGAGAGGAGGAGTTAGAACTTGGATTTCCCTCTCCCTGTGCAAGTGTCCTCAACACTAGGCTCTTGGGCCAAAAGGTAGAGGGAACTTTTCTTCTGTTTTTACTTTCAGCAAATATGTGTGAGCATTAATGTGTGTGCCTTAGTGATCCTGTCCTACCACACACAGTTGGACACAGAATCCAAATTGTGTGTATGAGCCAAAAAATGGCAGTTTTGCAGCTACACAAGTGCCACTTAAGTGTGTAAAGGATTTAACCTTCAGTCTGCTGGCTCTGTACACGTGGCATTGATTTAATCCTTCAGTCATGAATACCAGACATGAGGATTCCTTGCTGAGAGAGAGCGTACTATATTTACTTGCATACCACACACAGACATTTCCCCCCCCCACCCCAAAAATTGCCCTCCACAATGGGTTGAGCGTTTTAATCAGAGAAGCTGATTTTTCTGCCCAGAAAAGAAGAATAGAGACACTGTAAAATCATAGATTTCTAGGGTTGGAAGGGACCTAGTAGATCATTGAATTCGACCCCCTGCCCCAGGCAGGAAAGACCACTGGGGTTAAGTAACCCCAGTCAGGTGCTTGTCCAATCTCTTCTTGAACACCTCCAAGGTAGGGGAGAACCCCTCCCTTGGAAGCCGATTCCATATTTTGGCAACCCTCACCATAAAGAATTTCTTCCTGATGTCCAATCCAAATCTACTCTCCTTCAGTTTGTGGCTATTATTTCTAGTAACCCCAAGGGGTGCCCTGGTAAACAGAGTATCCCCTGTTCCCTGCTGCCCCCCAGTCCCGATGAGTTTGTAGGCAGCCACAAGATCACCTCTCAGCCTTCTCTTGTGGAGGCTGAAGAGTTTCAGGTCCCTCAGTCTGTCTTCATAGGGTCTTATCTGCAGGCCCTCAACCATATGAGTAGCCCTTCTCTGAACCCTCTCAAGGTTATCCACATCGCTCTTTAAGTGCGTTCCCAAACCTGGATTTAGTACTCCAGCTGCGGTCTCACCAATGCCACATAGAGGGGAAGTATCACCTCCCTAGACCTGCTCGTGATACACCTACTAATACAAGAAGGAGTGGGGTTAGCCTTACTTATTACCTTGTCACATTGGCAACTCATGTTCATTTTTGCGTTGACTATGACTCCGAGGTCCCTTTCCACTGCCATGGTACTTCCCAGTCTATGGGTGTATTGGAGATTCTTTCTCCCCAGGTGCAGCACCTTACACTTATCCTTGTTAAATTGCATCCTGTTCTGATCTGCCCACTGCTTCCAGTCTATCCAAATCCCCCTGAATTTGTTCCCTGCCTTACAGTGTGTTTACCATACTCCATAGTTTGGTGTCGTCTGCGAATTTGAACAGTGCTTTCAACACCCTCATCCAAATCACTGATGAAGATATTGAACAGTACTGGTTTAAGGACAGAGCCTTGGGGGACACCACTGCCCACATCTCTCCAGGAGGAGACTGACCCACCCACCCCCACTCTCTGGGTGCGTCCCATAAGCCATTTTTTCACCCACCTTCCTGTGAAAAAATCCACATCACAGCTACTCAGTTTGCTTGTGAGAACTGTGAGGATCTGCCTGCTATAAACCCATGCTGGTTGTCCCTTAACATTGTATTACCTGCTGGCCCCTCACAAATGTGATCCTTTATGATTTTTTCTAAGGTCTTGCCAAGAATAGAGGTGAGGCTAACCAGCCTATAATTACCTGGGTCCTCCTTCCTTCCCTTCTTGAAAACAGGGACCACACTGGCCCTTTTCCAGTCTTCTGGGACCTGTCCTGAGTGCCACGAGCGCTCAAACAGTTGCACCAGTGGTTTTGCTATGACACCAGCCAATTCCTTTAGTACTCTTGGGTGAAGATCATCGGGGCCTGCCGACTTAAATATGCCCAACCCCTCCAAGTACCCTTCACTAGGTCAGCGTTAATTGTTGGTGGGTTGGTATTTCTCTCATGCCAGACTGAAGTCTTATTGGGAGGTGTATTTGTATCTGTGTCCAGGAACACAGATGCAAAGAAATCATTTAGGAGTTCCGCTTTTTCCATCCTATCAGTTACGAGTTGCCCTAGTCTATTCTGTAGTGGCCCTGTGTTACCCTGCACCACCTTCTTGCTCCCTATGTACTTAAATAAGGCCTTTTCTTTACTCTTAATCTTTGTTGCCAACTTGAGTTCAGTATCTGGAAAAAAAAAAATGGCTACTGCTTCTTTTCTTTCTCTTCCCTTCTGCCCCCAGCTGGCTGCATGGAGGAAGAAGGAGTCCAGTCTTAAGCAACAGATGTAGTTTTAACCCTTTTTAACAGCCACTGCCAAATTGGCAGTAGCTTTTGGCTGAGTAGTCAAGACCTGATGCCAGTTAGGCAACAGCTGAGAGGGTTAAAACTAACATTTCTTGAACAGGAAAGGGAGGATGAGTGAGCTGACGATTAGATTCTGTCCTGACTCCATCTAGCCATAACTGGTAAAATCTTTTCTTCATTCTCCATTCCCAAAAAACAAGGTGCATGCTTTATTTGGGGCCATGTGGTATGCAAGGAAATACAGGAATATATATCTGATAAGACGTGGTGTCAAAGATGAAGAGCCCTGTTACCTGGCCCCTGGTACTGCCCATGGGTCAGAGTTGACCAATGCACTGCACGTGGCATATGCTGAACCAGCCCTGTGAGCAGGACCCAGGGCATGCACTGCATGCGGTGCCTGTTCTGGTGGCTTTGGGGTCTGTGCAGCATGCTCCAGCTGATCCAGGATGTGTTCTGCACACAGTGTCAGCAGGTGCCACATACAGTGCGGGTCCTGGACTGGGTGCAGCAGGTGCTCATGTGGTGCATTCCTAGACCAGGGGAGGTGGGTGCTGCGTGCAGCATGGATCCTTGAAAAAGCACTGTGTAGTGTTGTACCCACTCTGGCCACTCTGGGATCCACATGACATATGGCACCTTCCCCCCAGTCAGACCGCACCACATGTGGTACCTGATTTGGCTGCTCTGGGATCTGTACTGCACACCCTTGCTGGTGTGGCTGTTCTGAGATTTGCGCAGCACATGGAGTGGACCCTGGAGCAGCTGGAATAACCTCTGTGTCCAGTGAATCCAGCATATGGGGTTGGGGCTGACTGAGCCTGTGAACCAGCCCCCTGTCACTCATCCAGCCCATAGGACCAGATGAGTTTGACACTCCTGTGTTGTCTTAATTTGCCTAGTAAAACTTTTTTTTTCTGGGAAGTAATAAAATTCCCAGCCATGGAAAAAAGAGTCCTACAGATTAAAGTGCTTTGTTTTTAAATACTATTGATAGGTCTCAAATGAAAGCAAAAAAATACTTTAGAGCCAGCTAGAAGAATAATGTAAACACTTTAGGTGTTTTTTCCTCCCCATCCATCCAAATCCATTTTAAAATCATGAAATACCTGAAACTTTGAAAACAAGAAGTGCTGTGGCTTGCATTTTTAGAAGCAGAAGATGATATAGTAAGATAGAATATCTTCCTTGTACTTACCTGTCAGTTCCTCCTCCCCCCACCGGCTTTAGTTTGTTATTACCATTAATGTGGCTTGCATTACTTGTGGAATGAGGTGGGGAGATAATGTGCTACTGTGGATATTGAAGAATGTTTAAGAAAGAACAGCTTTAAAATAAAAGTTTTGATTTAAATTGATATATACATAATTTGTAGGTAATTTGCTATTTTAAGTATCTCTCAGTACAATCAGGATTTTGTCCCACTTCCCAGGTATGACCAGTTATAGTGGTTAAACCATTGTTTGTGTTTTTGTTTAATATACTGTTTACAGTTCTCTTTGGAACAATAAGCTTGTAGTTGCTCCTAATTTGCCTTCATTTAATCTGTTCATATTCCTTTTGTAGGAAGTTCCATGTGCCCTCCTCAAAAATAAAGGTAAGCAGTCATAATATACTATTTGTGCTTACCCCTTTTAAAAAATATTTCTATTTCAGAATTTGCATGATATGAGATATTCTTCCATTCAGTATGTGAAGTAATAGAGTTCAAAGCACGTGGATAAAGAGAGATCAGGTGTTGTAGGTGGTAGTGCGAAGGATATTGACATTTTCATTAATGACATTAAATCTGTTGTGTACAAAGTCAGTTGTTTTTGGTTTGGGAGTATTTCTACATTTTAACTATCTGCTTTTGTCACGCTTATGGAGCTGTTATTTTAAAGACATGCCTGATGTCTGTTCAAATGTGTTGGATGAAAAACTACATTCTTTGGAGTTGGAATGCGTGTGGGTGGGTGAGAGAGAGCTGTCTTGACAAGTCTGTAAATGGATATAACTAATAGTAAATATAGCAGTGTACCATTCCCTTGGCCTTCAGCATTGGAGTTTTCCCACGTAGGTAATTGCCTCTTCTCTTGCTGGCTAGATCTTTTGCTAACTGTACATGTGATCTGAAAAAGAAGTCTTTGGAACTGTTCAGACAATAAAAAAGTTTTATAACACTTACCTCTGTAGTATATTCTAATACAATTTTATAGAGGACCCCGTCCCCTGGTGTTTTTCATTATTGTAGGAATATACACCTGATGAATCTCTAACATTTGTGTCTCTATATCAGTTTCTCTTCCTACAGTTATTGTTTCAGTTTTTGTAAGCATGATTTTCTGACTGGTTTGTAATTTATAGACTGCCCAAAGTAGATACGTATGCCTGTATGTAAAGCACAAACTTCTGTTAGACTGAAGCACACTTTCATGGGCTGAAGTGTGTGTGGGTGTGTGTAATTTGGTTAATCTATAAGCTGCAAATGCCTCTTGCTTTCTGCTTGACTTCAGACTGATACAGCTAACTGTCTCGCTGACTTGTAATTTTCAGGAGGAATGTTTTTGAGTTTTAACAGCACAGGTTTCTATAGTTCAGGGAGTCCCACCATATTTTAGAAAACTTGGGGGTGAGGAGAGGCAGATGGACCTTGTCTTTAATTATGGAAGACTCCATGAAAGGTTTGGCCCTTGCTGGCTACTTCTTCCAGCCATGTAAGCATCATCAGATTTCCTTCTCTTTCATTCTTTTTCAGTTCACTGGTGACGGTTCTGCCCACCTGGTAGTGATAGTTGTATACAACAGACCAAGGATCAGATTTATTAATATCCTTTTAGTTTCATCAGGGAAAATGTTCCGTTTTTTGTTTTTAAAGGAGATTTGGTCTCTGACAGTGCTGATGAGGAAAGGTGGAGCCATCAAATACAGTAGTCTTATTGGTATTGTGGCTCAAAACTTTCTGTTGCAAATGCTTTTGTTCAGTGTGTAAAATGCTTGTGAATGATTCCCAAACTTTCTTCAGACAACAGATTATTGTTAACCCTCAAAAGTTCTATCAGAACATTGTGCACCCCTAACCTTGGGGCTGCCCTAAATAATTTCTTGCCTCCTGGTGTGGGAAGGGGAAGCATCATGCCTCCCAAATCCCAATCCCACCTGGGAGAGGGGTATCACCATAACAATCTTTTACCTTGCATCATTGTCTTCACGTGTACAGTGGGGACTCATCTGGAACTTCAGGTCATGTGGTGGAAAAAAGGCTACAAATTCTTTCAGAATTTGCTCATAAAATAAGCAGTTTCCATCTGTCCTAACCTGTCATTCCCCCCACTCAGCTATGACAAGTGACTGCATTTATTTGATAAGCATATTGTCAAGTTCTAGCTATTCTGAGAATTTAGAAAGACAGCTCTGCTGTGAGGGGTACAGGCAAAGGCTGCAGCTGAAATTGTTCTCGCTGTGTAAGTCTTAATGCTGTATTTTTCAAATGTATGACCAGAGTGAGATGAGCTTGTCAGTGCTATTTGTCTGGAGATATAGCTGTGTCAGGATAGTGAATATGTTGGACCATTCATGTACAGGATGTCTAAGGCAGTAGCAGGATTATCTCCCATTTCCTTCCTTAGCTGCTTTGCTGTGTATTTTCAGAATGCTTCAGGGTCTTAATGTCATGTTGAAATAGGACCAAAAAATGACATAGTAGTTATTTCTGTTTCTCGTTACTATCTTTCTCCTGTGTGTGTGTGAGAGAGAGAGATTTGTGTCTCTCTCACGTGTGTGTGTGTGTGTGTATGCGCATGCATGCATGCATTCATAATAAAGCTGCTTCAGCTTTATACACACACATTTACATAAATTTACACGTGTACACAAAAAATAAAATATGGAAGGTCTCTTCCTGATGGGACACAGTTCTGGCTGAAGCTTATGGAATTGGGAGCAAGGCTTTAAAACTCTGCCTTTGTATTTCCAGTAAGGCCCCTGCCACATGTTACACTTAAGACATGATTAACCAGTTAATCATGTCTTAAGTTATAACCCAGCCACACGTTAAAGCGGTTAATGGCATCATAAAACAAGGACTAAGCCACAAAAGTATTACACATCTTTTGTGGAATAACTTTGTGACTGGTCCCTACCATACTGTTAATTGAATGTGTGGCCAGGTGTACCCCTGCATCTGGGAGCCCTGTCAGGTGATCTGGGCTTCCAGCTGCTGGGGTGCATCATGCAGGACTCCCAGACATGGGAGCGCATGGTGTACATCTCTGTAGCTGGAAGCCCAGATCCAGGAGCCCATGGTGCACTGCTGCAGCTGGGAGCCCTGTCACTTGATGGAGCTCCTAGCTGTGGCAGCTTGCTACTTGCTGGTGCAGGGGGAGCTCAGGATAGCAATCCCGGGCTCTTTCTTCATCAGCAGTAAGGTGTGATGGGATCTGATGCTCAATTTCATAATCACACCTTGGGTTTGTGTGGCTCATGTGTCAAATTCTATCACGCCTTTCCCTGCACATCTAGCAGGGGCCTAAGTGTTACCAGTTTGCTGTCTTTGAAATCAGTATTATGGGATAGGACTAGCAGTAGACACAGTATCAATGGTATCTAATATTGTATTGCTTATGTAGCGACATTAAGATTATCATAAATGTTCACTTCTTAAAATACTTTTGCTGTTTTGTTGGTCTCTTCCTTAATTTATCTAAATATTTCTGAATAAAATGTCACCTGGGAGATTGATGCTCTTGAATATCCATTGAAATGTAAGAGCTGAGCACTCTCTCTAGAAGTACCCCAGGAATAACTCCCTTTCCTCTTGTAAATAGTAGCAGGAACATCTTGCTCAAGAGAGTTTAATCAGTGTAAACAATCTACAGTTGTCCAGTCTACCATCTTGAACAGTCTAGATCAGATATTTACCATACTTCATCATGCCAGGAATATTAGCCTTTAATTAAAAAGTAGTAATGACCATTTTAAGGTTTACATTATTAAACAAGAAGCCGAAGTGTGGCAATCTGGCTTGCCTCAAGCTAATTATCAGAGATTGTGTTCAGCACCACCTACACTGTTCTTATGACAGCCTTTTGATTTGTGCCATCTACATAAAAATATATACTGTTTCTGTTTCCTTCCCTAGGCTTGCTTGTCTGGGAAAGCTGGCACAAAGAGAGTTAGGATGTAGATATACAGTGTGTTTGCTATTTCACTCTAACTCCTTATTTGGGGCATCTTAATCTAGTCACTCTTGCTGCAGATTAAGATTGACCCACCACTGTGACTAGACTAAGGTGACTAATAAGCATGTATTAGTGAATGTAGTATAAACTCATACCAGGGCTCAGTAAATCCATATATGGATGGTAGCATGGTAAGCAAGAATGCTTTGTAATACCACAGTTGTCAAATAGTTTATAAGGATGAATGCTTAAAGTATAAAGATGTAAGAGTGATGTTTCTCCTTTGATTTTTTTTTTTTTTAATTGCTTGGGGACAGCTGCCATTACGTTCATGTGTGACAAGCGATGTAACAAGAAGCGGTCATGTGGACGACACAAGTGTAATGAGATTTGCTGTGTGGTAAGTTTGTATATGGAAGTATTAAGAAATCATTCAGTATGGAGTATTTATTCTTATGATTTCCGTTATTTTAAAAATAAATAAAAAGGCTGCTGAGTCACCCTGTCTGTAACTGTACTATAAAGTAAATGTTTGTACTTTATGCTTTGCCCAAAGCATTTTCATGCTTAATGTTGCAAGCACAACATTTTATGTGTTAGTCTCAAACTAATGAAAAGCTGCACTAGCTATGTTAGTCTGAAGTTAATTGAATTAATCTAGTATGCAGGTAAAATATATTGATAATAGCATCATATGGACACATGGGAAGGACTCTCTAGACAATTCCACTGTGGCTCTAAATTAATTCCACTGTTACTAACACTTTCCACCCCTCCATCAGACTGACTCTTGAATTACCCCAGTGTATTTGTTTCTTGGACACCACTGAGACTATGCAATGGTCAGGTCACCACCACAGCCACATTATATCAGAAACCAATTGACCCCTACATCTACCTCCACACCATCAGTTTGCATCTGAAGTGCACCGTTAACTCGATTGTCTACAGCTAAATTCAGAGGATACCTATACACATGACAGACCTCTACTCCGACATTTGCTAATTAGCACGTGTTGGAGCAGATTCGATTAATTGAGTCTGCTTTGAGTCTGCTGGAGTATGCTAATTAGCACACTCCAGCAGCCTCTCTGTCACGTGTATTCAGCATCCCTGCGTTTCAAAATGGTAGTGGGGGTGCTTTAACTAAAGCTCACTGAATGAGCTTTAGTTTAAAGTGCCCCAGCTGCCATTTTGAAGTGCGGGACTCTGAATACATGTGATGCTGTGGGAGCTTTTATTAGAGTGCCTCTCAGAGCTGCCCTAATCAAAGCATCCCCCCAATCCACAACAGAGCACATATATAGACGCCCAAAGTTACAATCGTATCTGTTCTGATCCCACCAACATGAATCTTGGGGATCTGGAGCAGGGATTCCTGCACTTAAAATGGAATCCCAAAACCATAGCCACCTGGATCAAGCCATACTCAGACCCTACTCTGACTTACTACAATTCCAACCCCAAAAAAGGACAGCAGAATCCGTCTTGTCATGTACAACCCTCAGTTTGAACACCTTGAATACACCATTAATGACCTGCCCCTCCTGGAAAATGATGACCATCTCAAGGCAGCCTTCAGGAGACAAGCCTGTTCTGGTTTACCAGAACCACCCTCATTAAATAATGTCCCTCTAGCAACAAACTACCTAAGTCCTATTCTCACTAAGGCAGGAGGCCTTGCAATGGACCCAGTTTGTCAGATGTGCCCCTGAGGTTCATTCATTTGCTCCTCTACCAACATCATATGTCATCACCTGCTTATGCTGCACTTTTGCTATCTACATTCGACAGATGGGGTAATCCCTATGTAGAAGAATGAATGGACACTGTGACTTGACATCAGTTTCAGAAAAGCACACAAGCATGTGGCAGAACACTAACCTCCCTTGACACTACATTGCTGACCTCATAATGGCTGTTTTTGACACCAAAATTTAAAAACTAATTCAAATGCAAAATTGCAGAACAAGAAATCATTCACAGACAGGATTATGTTAAATGTGGTCTCAACAGAGACTGGTGATGTAGTAGGCTGTGGCCTTTCTGAACAAGTTAATCTATAAGATTAACTGCCCTGCCTTCTGTCTATATTAACTAGTATAGTTAAATAAAGAAAAACCCCTTTCCAGTCCAGAGGCAGCTATACTAGTGGAAAATGCCTTACACTAGTGCAACTTACCCTGCATTGGAAAAGGAGGAAGTTACACAGATAAAAGGCACCTTTATATTAATATAATTATGCTCAAGCTAGAGTTTGCAATGCATAACTGTTTTGTTTTGTTTTGTTTTTAAATCTCATCTCCGACAAAATACAAACCTCATACTCGTATGAGGATGGGTAGTAGATAGGTATAAGTTGAGAAAATTCCAGTTGAACTTAAGATGGTTGGTGTACAATGTGCAATAAATCATAATGATCATTAACATCTTTGTTCCTCAGTGCATTAGTATGCTCATAACAAGAAATTCATTTGTTATTTGCTCTCATTTTTTTGGCAGTTTGCAGAAACATAATTGTTATGAAGCCATTTTGCAATCAAATCTTCTTTTCTAGGACAAAGAACATAAGTGTTCCTTGGTCTGTGGACGCAAACTTAATTGTGGCCTTCACAGATGTGAAGAACCTTGTCACCGTGGCAACTGTCAAACATGCTGGCAGACAAGTGAGTACAATATACGTATAATCAATTTAAAACTAGTAAGATATATTAATTTATATCGGTGGTCATTTTGAGTGCATTATTTTTCTTATGAAGTTCCATACTGATTAATGGAGACTATTTAATGTTGTACAATAGGTAAGAAAATTATTTGATTGAACTAGATGGACCTGTTAAATGTTGGGTTTAATAGCTGCACTATACTATAATATCTTCCTTTAAATTTGCTTAAAGTGCTGATCAGACAGACTGTAAAAAATTAAATGAACTTTACAAACTAGGGGCCTTTAAGATTTAAGGTCCTAGTAGTAGATTATTTTCTTTTTAAAATGCTATGTTTATGAAAGATATTAGATTGAAATCTGTGTAGACAGAAGTCTCTTTAGTCACAACGTGAGAGAGCACTAATTTTCTCATAATGGCTTGTTGGCTTGAGTCAGGTCTGAAGGGACAGCCAGTTTCATGCCTTGCATGCAAATTCTGAGGTCTTGGCTCAGGCAAAGTATTATGGAAACTTCTCTTGTCTCAAACATCTGTCCACTTGAAACTGGACTGTGTTCCACAAACTGCCATTGGGAATAATTTTTGGTGACTGTTATTTAAACCCACACAAATTCAAGCTGATCTCTTGAATGTGTCAGCATCTTTGTTATCTGTCCCCTATGTTTAAATGAACTAGATTACTTAAATTAGCCTTTAAATTATCATAAATTAATACTTGAAACTACGGAGGCTAAGTCAAAAAGGGGCCTTCATAGGTCATCCAGTTTATATCTTTCAATTCATACCACTTCTTTACATTAAGGTTAATTGTTAATTCTGTTACTACTTTACCCTCCAGTTAAAGTAATTACTTTACCCTCAGTTAAACCAGGGGTGGGCAAAATGCAGCCCGTGGACCAGATGCAGCCCGCCAGGCCATTCTATCCAGCCCGCAGGGACCCTAAAAAAATTTAGAAAATTAATATTCATCTGCCCCTGGCTGCCTGTCATGTGACCCTCGATGGCTTGCCAAAACTCAGTAAGCGGCCCTCTGCCCAAAATAATTGCCTCCCCTTGGGTTAGACAAATGTCTTATCCAATATCTTTATAGATGGTGTCTTAATTACCTCTACAAATTTATACCCTGTAGCTCAGTGATTCCCAAGTGGTGTGCTGCAGCACATAGCTGCAGAGCTGTTCTAGGAAAAATAGGCTAGGGTGCCCCTGCTGGGCAGGCGCCACATTGAACTATTTGCCCCCCTGCTGGTAACTAAAATGTCACTAGGGACCTACTTAATTTGTGATGAGGCAAAGGAGTTTTTGCAGCTTGGTCGTGACACAAGCTAATTTTGTGGGCATTTCCTGGTGGATGTGCCCCCTGCTGCTGATTGGCGGGGAGGACGGATGAGAGGGTGGCTGCCATCTTGGCTGCTGGCTGCCCTTTGTGCAGCCCTGTCCCTTGCTGCTTATAGTCCAAGAGGGCTCCCACTGAAGAGTCAGCATTTTATTTTTATTAAGTTTTTTTTTTAAGTTGATTTCACAGAGTTGCAGATTTCATGGTTTCTGCAAAATTGCAAATTAAGTAGGTCCCTAAGCGTCACCAGTTTTGATCTAAAAGAAAAGTGTGCCCCGGTATCTAAAGTTTAGGAAATACTGCTGTAGCTAATATTATTCTTTTACTAAAAGACTGCATCTGCCATTGGGGGATGAGGGGCGGGACAGTGGGAGCTGGTGGAACACTAGCAGGAAACGTTTTGCAGCAGAGCAGTGCCTATATCAGGGAGGTCTGCTGCTATAGCTCTGTTGCTGTAGTCATGGTAGCAGCAGTCTTATAGCATAGATTAGGGTTCAGATACATAACTATATATAGCCTAAAAAGTCCAAAGATCTCTCAAATCCTGGCACAGTCCTTCCTCTCCTTTTTGGTACTGTATAACGTACCTCTCTTTAAGCTATTCTTCCTGATCTGTTCTACTTTTTTACTTGATTCTTTTTTACTACCTTTGCATTTTTTATTTTGTCTTGTTTTCTATATTTAGATGGCTTTAAAATATCCTTCATCCCAGTTTGTGAAGTGTTCTGTTCATTGAAACTTCACAGGCATTGTGGGGAAAAAAATAATTCTAGGTCTGCGTATTTATACATAGCTACAAAAAGCCTAAATTTAAAGAGCATTCAGGTTGCAGAGTGAAGCAGTTGGTTTACGAAATGACTGAATAAAGCTTGTCACTTATGATATTTACTCAAATATAAAGTTTAAATCAGCATGGGAGAAAATGTTCCTTGTCTTAAATCTGCATACAAAGATTCCTCATTGTATATATTGGCTGTCATTAAACTGGTGCCAAAAGCAGCATATGCTTAGTAATGGAAACCAACTATGAAGTTGATTAAATACAACCAGCACTGAACATGATTATAAAATGCATGGCCCATAATGGGCAAGCATATGGATAGGAACTGGTTTTTGTTTTTTTTTCTTTTTTTAAAACATATCGATGGAAACTGATCATAACAATAGGCTGGTACAGCCCATCTGAATAAGCTATAGGGCAAGATCCATTGCAATAAGTTCCCTTTAGCACCAGCTAATTTTTAAGGTATGGTGAGCTACTACATGGCTTACATTTAAGACTTCCTCTTCATTCCCATAGCTGAGCTGTCTTTCTTTCCTGTTTCCAGTGACTCCTGTTTCTTCTCCAGCCTTAAATGTCTGGCAAACATCAACAAACAGAGCCCCAGAGTGTTCACCCAGAAACTCTCTCTTGCCCCCTCTTTCAGGCTGTGCATATGATTTGTATGGCCCCACCCTCCATGAGGTGGAGCTCGACCGGGTTGCCCTGCACCTCATCTGCATATACATTTTTGGAGGATCAGACAAGAACACCCGATTTCAGTCATGAATAGGGGGCTAGCAGAAGGATCCTTTATGGGGAGTATCTGGAATATACACGCATACTGAGCAGTGCTGAGCTGTAGGGTCACCATGGCTTGAAATGCTATTGACTCTGCTGGGGCCTGCCCAATGAACTATATAATAAATCCTGAGCCTTTTGGTTTTGGACTAATATAATTCATAGATTTTCATAGACATTAGGTCTGGAAGAGATCTCAGAAGGTTGTTGAATCCAGCCTCCTGTCTCAGGGGCGGGAAATCAGCTGGGGTCATAGGATTCCAGCAAGGTAGGTGTGCAAATGTTTCTTAAAGGAGGCCAGAGTAGGTACTTGCACTACCTCTGAAGGCAGTCTATTCCATGTCTTGGGGGCTTGGACAGTAAAGAAGTTTTTCTTACGTCCAGCCTGAAATGGTCATAGAGGAGTTTGTGACCGTTTGACCTTGTCATCCCTTGGGGTGCTCTGGTGAACAGGTGTTTCCCCCAGATCCTGATGTACACCCCTTATATACTTATAGGCAGCCCTCAGGTGACCCCTGAGCCTGTGCTTTTCCATATAATTTATTAATACCGACTGTTCTTCACTGAAAAACTCCCAACTTAAATCTCTAGAAGCATTCACTGCCCTGCTCACAGAAGGGCAGCCTCTGATCAAAAGTTTAATTCCGGTTACACTGGATATAGTAGATACATTGTTGTGATAGGTGGTTAAGGATTTTAAAAGATTTTCTTACTTTAAATATTTAACATTAGTACAGGTTATACAATATCCTCTTGAACTGGAAAGCATTTCATCTTATATTATGAATGTCAGCCATCTTGGCAATGAGTACTGGGCACAAATAATTATTGATCAGCAATGTTGTTTGTATCATTATTTGCAGCTTAATTTTCATCTACAAGTGGAGCTATATTGTGGTCAGGATTCCTTTTTGTTCTTGGTATTTAAAAAAAAAAGTCTTCTTACTAACTATTAAATATTTGATAAACTAATATTTCATTCTGTTATCAGTTGCCTGTTTTAAACTTATTGTCATCTGTTTCCTTTTTCTTTTGATATTAATTTTATTCTTTCTTTGCTCCTTTCTTCTGCTTTCTTAAGGGGGATGTTGTTAAGCAAAGGATCATTTTCCCCCATTAGGTAGGGATTCTCTGACTTCTAGCGTGTCTTATTGCTAAACAGTGTCTGATACCAGGTTGTTGCAAGGCTTGCTGCTCTTTTGATCAGCCCATTCACACTTGAATAAACTGTAGTTCTGAGTTCTTAAGGTTTTGTCTGTCTCTCTTTCTCCTCCTCCCAGGTTTTGATGAGCTGACTTGTTACTGTGGTGAATCTGTGATTTATCCCCCTGTTCCTTGTGGTACACAGCCACCAGAGTGTAAAAATCCATGTACCAGACCACATGAGTGTGATCATCCAGGTAGGTAATAGGTAGTCCTGTATAACTTTGTAAAACTGCCTAACCAGTGCAAGGGTGTAGGAACAAGATTACAACACAGATTACAGACCCAAAGATATTACTGACTTTATACACTTCATCCTCTCACACAACAATTTCACTTTTAATAATCAACACTTCCTCCAGATGATGGGAACAGCTATGGGCACTAAAATGGCCCCACAGTATGCCAACCTTTTTATGAGCCACCTGGAAGAAGACTTCCTCAAGAACTGCACCATCAAACCCTTGCTATACTTAAGATATATCAATGACATCATCATTTGGACTGAAAACCTACAATCTCTGATTGAGTTCCATCAGAAATTCAACAATCACCATCCCTCCATCCGACTTTCTCTAGAATACTCCAGCACCAGCATCTCCTTTTTAGACATGATGATCAGTATCCAAAATGATAAAATACAGACCACGTTATACAAGAAACCCACAGACCAACATACCTATCTGCACAGAACCAGCAATCACCCTACACACACCAAAAAAGCTGTGATATACAGCCAAGCCCTCAGATACCACCGCATTTGTACTGAAGAGAACACCCGGGATTGCCACCTCACCAATCTTAAAAAGGCTTTCACCCAACAAGGACACTCCTTTAGAGAGGTAGATCACACGTTTGAAAGAACCACCCGGATACCACGTGAAGAACTGCTGCAGTACAGAAACCAACCCCCCCCCCCTTGATCGCACACCGCTGGTTATGACACATCACCTCATTACCAGAAGCAAACTTCCTCAAGCCCAGAACACACCAAAAGGATCCAGACCGTGCCAGGGCAAGAAATGCAAAACCTGCCAACACATCTCCACCCCCCCCACTATTACTACACCCAACAACAGAGCCATGAGCATCCCAGGATCTTACAGCTGCACCTCCAGAAATGTGATATACCTCATCCAATGCACCAAATGCCCTGATGGAAAATATGTAGGAGAGACCAAGCAACAACTGCGCACCAGAATGAAGGCACACTGGAAATCTATCAAAGACAGAAATACCCAATTACCGGTGGGGGCACATTTCTCACAGGAGGGCCACTCTCTCTCCAGTCTCTCAGTCCTGATCCTCAATGGAAATTTACACAACACTTCCCAGAGACGAGCCTATGAACTCCATTTCATCAACCTCCTGGATACTAGAGATCATGGACTAAATATAGACATTGGATTTTTGACACATTATAATCTGCCTGGCAACTGACCCCCAGCCCAGCCTCTGGCTTCTTTACTTTTCATTCCATCCAGGAAGAGCACGCACCAACTGCTGAAGCTTCCTTAGCCTGACGAAGGGCTTTTGAACCCGAAAACTTGCTTAATAACTATTCTCCAACTATTTGGGTTGGTCTAATAAAAGATATCAAATTCACTCAAGGAACCTTGTCTAACCAGTGCAACACACTTATGTATACTTGCCTATGTGTTTCCTTTTTTTAACGTCAGGAGCTGTTTTACAGATTCTGCGGTAGTTGTAAAATACTACCAAAAGGTCAGAGAGTTTATATTAAAACAACAAACAAACTTTCCATAATACATACTGTTGTGCTTTTCTGACAGTCAAAAACATTGCAGTTTTACACATTATCTGAGATCTTTGACATTTTTTGGACACTAACAATAAAAACCTGTTTGAATTTGTCATTAGATGCCGTCTTTTAAAAAAAATATGCACAACGGTGCTTACCCCTGTCAACCTAAAAAAATGCATCTGTTCTGTATCTACAATACTCTGTCAACAATACAATCCAGGCATTGTTTTCTTTTTTTAAATTTGCCTCAGATTATACTACCAATTAATATTACTTGATGCAAAAAGTAGCGCAGAACAAACTGATCACATTTCTAGCATATACTTCCTTATGCTGTAATCTAACGGTATCAGGGAGATACCCATATAGCCATTCCATCCAGCCCACAGTGATAGTGCCAAGTTGCTGGAAATCAAGGGCATAACATACTGTGGAATCTGAGGGCATGGTCATTGGCAGCAAGTGGGTGAGCAAGGGCTGTATGAAACAGCCCTCAGTTGCCATGCAGCCACTTGGCCAATTGCCACTTGTGCACCTCCACCACAATAAGCAGCTGACTGGCCCATGCTTGCTTGCCCCACTGCTGGTGTGGTGTCTGCTGCTGCAGTGATCACAGCCATCTCCCCATAGTTGGGATCCAGTCCAGAGCCCCAGTTGATTTTGACACCCCTGCTGTAATTTATACACAACCCAGTCTTATTTCCTATTGTTCAGCTGAGGAGATGGAGGAAGGAATTTTCTTGCAGCAAACTTTTCAGTCTGATTTTCAATAATTTAAATGTATCATCATACTCTTAGACAGGAAATTGTGCAAAAAAACCCTGTTGCCCATTTTCCCTAAAATGAGTGGTTTTGAGAACGTTAGAAGATAATTATTTTAAAAAGGAATTTGGTATGTAGTTGAAACACCCAAGTGAACTACGGTATTCTAAATTTTTTTCCCTGATTTTTATGTTCCTTTAATTGCAGTGTACCATTCCTGCCATAGTGAGGAGAAGTGCCCACCCTGTACGTACCTCACTCAAAAATGGTGCATGGGCAAACATGAAGTAAGTATTGGCTGCTCAGTAGAGCTGTGTGAAATTTTGACACGTGTTTCGTTTTGAAGCCGTTTTGACATGTTTTGAGCTCGAAACAGCAAAATCGAAACGAAAGGCTTTGAAACTATTTCGAAATGAAACGAGGGCACTCGAAACATTTCAAAAGTTTTGAAACATTCCAAGTTTTGAAGCTGGGCTTGCTTGTAGCTAAACAGAAACTAAGGAGAGGGCAGAGGAAGAGGTGGGAAGGACTGCTCTGATGTTGACATCTGTAGCTGGCCAGTGACTATGATCCTTCCCTTCGGGGGGAGGGACGGAAAAACAGCATAAAAAGTCACACGTCACAAGTTTTGTTTGTCGGCACCTTGAGGTGCATTTTCCCAGAAATCCCTGCACCTTACCTCCTTGAAACTTGACAGGTTTTGTGGCCTCAGCAGGGGTTACCATCCCTGCTGTTTTCATTCAAATCAGGAAAGAAATGACAAAGTTATAGGCATTTTCATGATTCTTCCTTATAGCCTACGGTTGAATTGGCGAAACAGTGTTGAAACAGCAAAACAGTTTTGACAAAACAAAATGGAATAGTGCTTCAAAACAGCGAAACAAAACACTGTCCCTTTGAAATGGCGAAACAGAAGTCAAATCGAAATAGTGCTATTTCACACAGCCCTAAGTGCTCAGTGTTTTTTAATCCTGAGTAACCAAAAGTTGTAAAGTAAAGATTATCTCCAAACTGCAGTTCCTGTAACTTAAAGAAAAAGCACATGGTATTGGTTTCTCTCAAACTGTCAATTTTTCCCTGATTTCTGTCAAATAATGTGTTTCTGGTGTACAAGTCCTAACTAAAATGATCAGATGAACCTTTTTTACCATGTGCTTTTGACATGGATGCAGTTTGAAAGTATGATGTATGATAAATACGCATGTTTTGGTTTAAATAAATTGTGAAGAACTTAATGTATAAACAGACAATTTTATTCTAAAAATCAATTCCAAATTAAAATTTGAACAGTGAAAGTATTATAACTGAAGAGACAGCATTTACTTTATTAAATGCAAATATTAATTTGCAGCAAAATAATTTATTTTCACTTGTAACATGGCTCTCTTTCTTTCCTAGCTGCGGCATAATATTCCTTGTCATCTCACAGACATTTCCTGTGGTCTTCGCTGCAGTCAAGTGTTAAAATGTGGAATGCACAAATGTAAAAGGATCTGTCACAAAGGGGATTGCCTCATAGATGAAGAATGCAAACAGCCATGCACTATTCCAAGAGTGTATTGTAATCATCCCTGTATGGCTCCGTGTCATCCATCTTTACCTTGTCCTACAACTTCTTGCAACACAAAGGTGATGGCTGTAGAAAACTTACCATAGTTCACAGGGCAAAATGTTTAGTAACTGGTTTTAATCAATAGTGAAAAGTTATAACAAGACCAGTATAGAAGCTTGTGTTTACAAGTATATGCTTCTGAAATTGAAAATGTCATAAAAAGCCACTAGCCCTGTGGCTATTAGAGTAAAACCAGATTTTTATGGGGTCCAGATTCTTAGACCTGGTCTATATGCTCCTTTTTTCTGTGCAAGTTGCACTACAACTTCCTACAGAGGGACTGCGATGTGTTGGAGGAGAAAAGTAGGGCACACTTGGTATATATAATCTCTTAGGTATTTTAGGGCTAATGATACAAGGGTAGAGCAGTCTGTTGGGGCCAAGCAACATGCAATTAATTGAGGCTTCCTATTTCTTTCACCCACCCACAATATCTGGGCTCTGTTCGGAGGCAGGGGAAACTCAAGCTCAGTGTGTTTTACTGAAGTATAGGAGTGTCAGAGGTACATCTCATGGACCAAATCCAGCCTGTAGAACCTTATCATCTGACCCACAGTGCTGCCTGTGGGTCTTGGACTGGCACAGCACATGCAGGACCAGTTTGAGGCATATGCTGCATGTGGACCAGCCCTGCACGCTAAATACAGGGCCAGTCTGATTGGACCCACAGACAAGCAGTGTGCACTGGATCCAGCACACAGGGCCAGTCTGTCTGGACTGGCCTTCAGTGTTGTGTGCAGCACACGCCCCAGACTGGCTCCACAGGCTGCCTGTAGTGCTTGGACTGAACTGGCCTTGTGGGCTGGAGCCGGCATGTAGATCTGGTCTGTGGGCCCAGTTTGGTCTGCTGACCTGCCCTATACCCCTCGTCTGACCCACAGTGCCAGATACATTTGCCACTCCTGTTAAAATACATGTGAAGAAATGTAATTACCCAAAACTTAGTAAGACTTCCCTGTCTCTCATACTAACTACATCTAGAAATCATTTAAGCCTTATAATGAGAAAAAATAATTTCAAGGTTTGTATCTTCAGTGGATTCTTCAGGAATGTTAGCATCTGCTTAAATACCAGAAACACCCCCCCCCCCCCCCAAAAAAAAAAAACAAAAAAAAAAACTGTTGGTTTACCACTTTTGTGTGACCCAACAGGTTGATCTTCAATGTGAGTGCGGAAGAAGAAAAGAGAGTATGATTTGCTCAGAGGCATCCAGTACATATCAAAGGTATATCCCAGTTATTCAATTCCTTGCCCTCTTTTTTTAATAACTTCACTTCTCTGCAGTTAATCAGAGTTGGAGTTTCTTAGATGGACTCCATGTATTTGACTCATCTTCCTTTGTCATATGCCTTTTCCAAGTTAAATTTGCTAATTCCCCTGACCTCTCCAGCTCCCAGTTCTTATATTTCATTTTGTCTGTAGGTCTGTCTTGTAGGATGTTCACTTTTGTGCTGTGGATGGATTGGAGCTTTGGTTGTATTCAAGGCTGGGACTTTTCAGTTTTATCCACATAGGGCTTTTTGGATGAAGAACTTAAAAGATTTTACAGTAATTAACATAATTCTAAATTAGCTAATTTTTCTATTTCTTTTGTTTCCCTAAATTTGGGTTATATTGGGTAAAGGAAGAGTTGGGACTTTTTGAACTGACAGACCATTGTCAATCAATTTCTCATAAACTACAATGCATCCTTATTGATAAACTGCTGCTTGAAATTAGACAGGGAAGTGACTTGTGACCTGCAGTCTTGCATACTGGTATTGATTACTTTAGAATTCTTCATAGGTAGTGCTCTTTTTTCTTCCTTTCAAGACATGACTAAGGAGTGCAAAAATTAATCTGAATAGTTCTAGGTGGGCAGTTCGAGCTTTTACATGCAACCAAAGCTTTACCTCTCTCCCAGTCAGTTGTAAAGAGCACTTCCACAGATGGGAGGGATAGGAAGGATCAAAGAAAGAGTTTGTAGATGAGACCCATCTTCCATTTCTTATTCAACACTGATGTTTGAGAAGTTGATATCAGATTATGAAATCTGAGCACTACTAGGGAAATACTGTGCAGCCACATGTCTCATTTTTTGATTTGCACCTTAGGAATAAATATGAAAGAAGGCCCTACTTGGAGACAGTTCTCAGAACATTTAGGGGCTGCTTAGTAGTGTCATTGCCAAAGGTTAAGAAATGTCCCTGAGACTAGAAATGGCATTGAGGCCCAGATTCTTGCAAAGACTAAGTACAGGCAGTCCTCGGACTTCCGACACAATTGGTTCTTGAAAACTGCATCTTAAGTCGAACTGTTGCAACCCGGAACCAATTTTCTCATAAGAAACAATGTTATAAATGGGGATTGGTTCCTGAACCAAGGCCCGATACCCTATTTTCACTAAAAATACCCCAGAATTTTGTACTCAATCAATTATAGATGAGTAAAGAAATACAATTAATGTAGCTATATTTAAATAGCAATTGTATTGATTTGGAAGGACTTCTTTGAGGTGACTTTGCTGGACTTTTTGAAAGGCTCTTGGTTGGACTTTTTGAAGGGTTCTTGGCTGCAGGTTTTCTGACGTCTTGTCTGCTTCCTTAACGAAAGCGTCCAAGGAAGTTTGGACAGATGTTCTCCAGGGAGATGAGCGACACAGCAAACTTGTTCGCTGGCATGGCATTGCATCAGATCAAGCATTGTAAAGTCGAAACTGACGTCATAAAGTTGAAACAGGGTGTCAATTTAGAAACGTAACTGAAAACGTTGCAAGTCAAGGACTGTCTGTATATCCTTCATTCACTGAAAATAGTCTCCTTGAAGCCATTGAGCATACTGCTAGGGCATAAACTCAAGCATATTTGTTGAGCTTTGCAGGATGGAGGCCGAAGTCTCTTGGCCAGCTGAAAACTTTAATAATGAGAGAGGATAAACCAATTTAAGACACTTAATATTGGAAATAATGTGTTCCAGTGCCAGTTGTTCAAGGCCTTAAATTGTGTTTATCAGGTTAATTCCTTCCCCCACCATAATATATATGATCAACAAGTTAATATCACATTCGTTACTGTTTCAGTTCTAGGTGACAGATGCATAGTTTTTCATGTCCTTAAACATTTAATTCCTGACCTATATAACACTAGCAAAAACCACATTTAGTTAAGGCTTTACTATCACTGCCCAAATCATTTCTTGTTTCATTTTCCTGCATTCCTGGCTATCTTTATGTACTGTATTTACTTGCATACTACGGCCATGCCTTTCTTCCTAAAATCAGCCCTCCAAAATTGGGGTGCCTATCTTAAGCGGGAAGCTGATGTTATTTATTTATTTATTTATTTATTATTTGCTGAAATCAGAAGGGGGGGGTGGGGACACAGAAGCAGACAGATGCTGTGACTCAACTGCCAAGATGGCTGCCACTTTTCTGTGGTCCTGAAATCAGAAGAGGCAGAGCTCGGTGTTAACCCTCTCATAACCTGAGCACTTTGAGCTGATTTAGAGTAAGTGAACTGCTGCATGCAGTCTGTAGTATCTTGATGAGGCTTGTGGTGTGGAAACAATACTTAGTTATAGTAACTTATGGATTTCATAGACATTCGGGCTGGAAAGGACCCCGGAGGATCATTGAGTCCAGCCCCTTGCTCAGGGGCAGGAAGTCAGCAGAGATCATAGGATCCCAGCAAGATAAACATCCAAAAGTGTCTTGAAGGCGTTCAAAGTGGGTGCTTGAACCACCTCTGGCGGCAGTCTATTCCAAACCTTGGGGGCTCGGACAGTAAAGAAGTTCTTCCTTATGTCCAGCCTGAAACGGTCATAGAGGAGTTTGTGACCATTCGATCTCGTCATCCCTTGGGGCGCTCTGGTGAATAGTCGTTCCCCCAGATCCTGGTGAACACCTCTAATAAACTTATAGGTGGCCACCAGATCCCCCCTGAGCCTGCGCTTTTCCAGCCTGAAGAGTCCCATGGCTCTCCGCCTCTTCATAAGGTCTGTTATCCTGACCTCTGATCATGCATGTGGCTCTTCTCTGGACTCTCTCAAGCTTCTCCACATCCTTTTTGAATTGTGGAGCCCAAAACTGGATGCAGTACTCCAGCTGCGGCCTCACCAAGGCCGAGTACAGTGGGAGAATGACATCCTGGGATTTGCTTGAGAAGCATCTATGGATGCAAGCCAGCATTTTGCTTGCTTTACTA